ATAGAGAACAAATGCCTATCATAGGCAATGGACTGCATAAGAACGTTTAGAAAATTTGGGTTCCACCGTTCAATCAACCTTATACAATTAAAAAAAAAAAAAATATAATATAAACTTCCGATGAATGCTTCCAGTGGGCAAAAAAAAAATATAAAAACACACACGGACCGAATTTGTTTTTGCTTTTCAGAGTCCCCCTGTGCCAGTTTTATTACCCTTTGATCCTACCAGTAGACCCATTATTCCACTTCCTTTGACAGGGCAAGATGCCATACAAGAGTGGTAGTTTCACAAGTTGGGGCAAAACATAGCATTGCCATGGGTGCCTACAACATGGTTCAATCACCCCCCCCCCCCTCCAAATGCAAGAAAAAAAAACAAAATGGATGCTGTAAGTGCTTAACCCCTTCCTGCCGGTTCCTCCCAGCCCTTTAAGAGTTTGACGCCGGGAGGGGCGCGGTTTAGGGATCATGTGACCGCCGTGATGCGTTGTCACGGCGGTCACATGATCGGGAAAGGTCCCCATCGAAAGAGCAAACCAGGACCTTTCCATGAGTACCGGACGTGTGCTGGGAGCACGCTCTCAGCACATGTTTTTTGTTACATGAACGCAAATGTGCGACCCGCTCGGCGTCTAGGCCCAGGCGCCAGGAGGCCGCACATTTGTGTGCGGCCGGCGTAAAGGGGTTAAAAAAAGTGGGTTTTCAGACTCATTCACACGTGGCTGAGGGGTGGTACCCCATGATTAAGCTATGCTTTTACAGCCCCTCAACTGCTACCCCCTTTAGCTGCAGAAGAAGCGGTCGGGGTGTACACATGTCGAATCAGAATTTACACCCTGTCCCTCTCTGCGGGTGTAGCGCCTGCCGAGAACAACCCTGTTCAAGTGAATGGGAATGCCCCAGCGCAGGTTGCGGCGAAATAATTTGGAATTTAGGGGATAAAACAGGTGGTGAAGTGGGGATACAATGCCTCCTTACCACCTGAAAAATGCTCTCTGAAGAACAATCTGAACTAAGGCCAACCCTGTCCACAAGGTGACAACAGTGCTGTGTGATTCCACTCAAGCAAAAGTTTTCACCCCGTTATGGGTAAAAATCTCCCAACAGATATTACAGAGGGGGGAAAAAAAAAAAACCTTATGAAAAAACAAAGTTCCCGTGTTAATGTTTGTGACAGACTATATCATATATGCCGTTTTTGTCCATTGGCACCACCTTCATTTATAGCATTTAGGAAACACCACTAAAGAAGAGCTGGTCATTGACCAAGCCTGAACACCCTTTGTTCCTCTGCCTTTACAGGAAGAGAACTTGAAACAAACATGGACATTGTAGGGACAGAGCCACCATGTGGTTGCCGCTTTCCCCTTCTGATGAAATACTGATGCTGGATCTTCACAAAAATACAGATCATAAAACATTTCATAAATAAAAGTGATTGCACCTGATGCACAGACGATGTTTACACCATATAAAAATATATAAATCTGACATACAAAAAATAGGAAGGTTGTGTGGACTAAAAGGAGCAGTGGCAAAGGGATTACTTAGGGCCCCAGTGAACAATGAGTTTTCATAACAGCAGCAGTTAAGACGTCCCTCAACGTGTTTTGCATCTCCACCGTCCAATACAATTTCTGAAAAACCATCATCATCATGTAACCAATGGATTGGAAGAAACTGTAAACCTCTCTCTTTCTTGAAAGTCTTCATGATACGATATTTAAGAGTGCAACATATTAAAGCACCTTTAGATGACAGGAAAAAAGGGCCATCAAAGTTGATGGAGGAATCCTCTTTATGGCTACCCCACAGTCAAACCGGTGACACATTGCAGAATAGTTTTGCAGAACTTTTCTTGATAAATAAAAAGAAGAGCAGCATAATCTTCAGTGCTTTGGAACTTTTTCCAGTTTGGGGTCCAGTTGTAACATTCATCCGTTGCTAAGCGTGATGATCACAGTAGGGGGAGTATTGAATCATAAACTCACCCTAGAGGAACAAAAGCAATGGATTAGAGGTATGGCTTATAGTACATACAAACAGAACTAACAGCACAAATAAAAGGCAGACTATGTCACAGACGTGGTGCAGAACTGGCTGTAAAAGGTTCTCATTTAAGCAGGTCATGGCACGTCCAATAGGTCATAGTATAGTTCCAGCTGAATAGGACTAGCTACTACTAGCCATTGTGCAGACCTGATTGCGAAGTCATCCTTTAGACCGGGGTCTCCAAACCTTCTAAACAAAAAAAGGCCAGTTTACTGTTCTTTAGACTACGGGGGGGTCAGACTAATTGACGGCAGTGGGACTAGAACATTCTCCAGTGTCAGTAGGAGTATGCAATGCCTATGGCTTGCTGGTCAGTGGGAGTAAAATAAGAAACTGATTGTGCCCCATCATCGGTGTCAGTGGAAGGAATAGTGTAAGTGGAGGGAATCATGCTCTATCGTTGGTATCAGTGGGAGAAATGGTGTTCCAACATTTAGATCAGTAGAAAGAAACAAGTTCCATCATTGGGTGTCAGTGATAGAAGTTATACCCCACTGTTGATGTAATTGGAAGGAATGCTTTCTCATTGTTCATGTCAATAGGAGGAAGTACCCCAAGGGCTGGATAAATGCAAGCAAAAGGCCACATCTGGTCCACGGGCAGTAGTTTGGAGACCACAGCTTTAGACGCTTCAATGTTATTTCTCTTGCTCACAGACAAGCAAAGAGACTCCTTTTCATTTTCCAACCTCTTCTCAGAAACATTTCCATGCCAACATTTGATACTCAAGCCCATCATTCATAACAAGACTCCTAACTTCATATTCGATTTGACAACACAGTGGGGGAGATTTACTGAAAAACTAGAGCACTCAGAGTCTGGTACAGCTGTGCATGGAAGCCAGTCAGCTTCTAACTTCAGCTTGTTCAATTAATCTTTGACAATAAAACTTGGAAGCCGATTGGTTTATATGCAGAGCTGCACGCCCCAGTTTTAGTAAATCTCCTCCAGTACTGCACTGGAATCCCAATCCAAGCTGTTAGCCCTGCTGAGTTCTCCTCTTCAGAGCTACAGAACGTCACCCTCTCCTCATTTTAATCATGGGGACCCTTTTATGTTATTAACGTCTTGAAAATTATTATTATTACACAGCATTTATATAGCGCCAACACTTTGCTCAGCGCTGTACATTATAATGGGAGACAGTACACGAGACAGTACAGTAACAATACGATTCAATACAAGAGGGGTTTGAGGGCCCTGCTCCTTGGAGCTTACAATCTAGGGATAGTGGTACAGAAGTAAATAGCTGTGGGGGATGGAGTGGTAGGAAGAGTGGAGGAGTTCAGTAATTAGCTGAGGGCGGGGTAGGCTTCTCTGAAGAGATAGGTTTTCAGGTGAGGAGAGTAGGTGACAGTCTGATTGATTGGGGTAGGGAGTTCCAGAGGATGGGAGAAGTCCTGAAGATGGGCATGGGAGGAGGAGACCAGGGAACTAGAGAGTAGGAGGTCTTGTGAGGAGCGGAGAGTACGTTTTGGGTGGTATTTGGATACCAGATCGGTGATGTAGTTTGGGGCAGTATTATGAACAGCTTTGTACGTCAATGTTAGCGTTCAGAATTTTATCCGTTGGGCAATCGGAAGCCAGTGGAGGGATTGGCAGAGGGGGGTGGCTGATATGGAGCGGTTAGTAAGGTGGATGAGTCTGGCCGCAGTATTCAAGATAGACTGAAGAAGGGATAGCCTGCGGTGAGGTAAGCTGATGAGGAGGGAGTTACAGTAGTCGAGTCATGATCTAATAAGGGAGTGGATGAGTTGCTTAGTGGTTTCCGGGGTTAGGAACATGCGTATTTTGGAGATGTTGTGGAGGTGAAGTCTACATGAGTTTGTCAGCTTATTGGGGGCATGGCCTGGTCTGAGGTGGTCATACACCTCCTCCCAGGGTTTTGCTGTGATGTGCCTTTTCAAGATTTCCTTTCCCCATAAGGGGGAGTAATGCTGTATTGATTTTTCTACATTTTTTCCTCAGGGAATTAACAGTTTCCTGCACCAAGAAACTGATCTGGAGTGGTGTGCGCCACATTAACTGAACAAATAGACCCATTTTAGGTTCATCTGCACCATCCATGCCAGATTCCGTTTCAGAGTGAAATAGAAAAAACTAGTGTGGGTTCTACGATCAAGATTGCGACTGTTTTCAATATAGAAAACCGGCAAAGATCCCCACCAGGTTGGTGGGGAATATGAGCTACCTGCAGGGTCTTCCTCTTTCCTCCCAATCTTAGCTCAGCAGTAGGATGGGACAGGCAGAAGAGTCCCGAGCATGTACAACTCTGTGCTGGGTCTGTCACAGCATAGAACAGGATGCAGATCAGTCCCAAACAATGGGGCAGCACTTCTTCCATTGAAACCAAAGACGGTGTACTATTATTCCCACTAATACCAATGATGGGGCAGTACTCCTCCTACTGACCATCAACCCTAAAGCCATATTTATTCTCACTGATGCTGGGGCCAGGACATTTTCTATCCGCATTGGCCCTAATCTGGCCCTCCTAAAAGTCTGAAGAACCATATACTGGCCCTTTTTCAAAAGTTCAGAGACCCCTGTCCTAGAACATATTGATTCAACTATTTAAACCTGCAAACTATATCATTCAAAACATAAAAGTACAAAGAACTAAATCTGTTTTTACTCCAAACTGAAAATAAAATTGACTACTCATAGTAAAACATTCCTGGATCAGGAATTTAGTTTGAAGAGTAATGTGATCTGGGCAGTTGGAACAAATCTTTCGACTGACAGTTGTTTCAAAGAATGTTTAAAATCTGCACACCATTAATCAATTTCTTTTTTTTTTTTTTTTTTTTAAGTGTTGTTGCTTATACAAAAGGTACCCTCAGGTTATCTATGCAGCCCCTCAGTATTATACGTGTCTGTACTCGGTTCAAACATCTCCAGGAACCATTCTTCCAGACCACCTAAACTGCTAGTTGGGTTCATTACTTACCGTTTTCGTGGCTTCACTTCCCATCCATCTTTACATTTCTCAAAGATCAGCTCATCACCAGGAGCTATGTGACTTGCGTGTAAATCTTTTAGACAAAAAGTGAACCTAAAACATAAAATGTTTGAACATTTATGTAAGCATATTTGGTGAAGCTTTGAAAAAGAGAATAAGATTACAAACAATGGCTTGCATTTACAAAATGGCTTTCCGTTTGGCAGCCCATTCATTTGCAGGAGAATGAATAATGGAAAGGACTTTAGTGGCTGAAATGTGCAACAAATGACTCAACAACTTTAAGTAAACTTTTAGCCTTCACACACTGATAAAAAGGAGGCCTAAACTTACTTCTGCTGCGTTTCTCCAGACTTCACACGGATACGGCGGACATGCAGCTCCCGATCACCGTTGTTGGACGCCGACCAGTAATTCTGCAGTGAGCTCCAGAAGGAGTACCAGGACTGCTTGGTTCCTTCCCAGGTTAGCTTTATAGACAGCAAGTCACCAATGTTTTCTTCAGTATAAACCAAGAAGGTGTTTGTGAAGTTGTAGCCAATCTTCTCAGGCCTAAACATGAAAGGATTTATTGTCAGAGAAACTTCAAACTACACACACTACTGCCTAAATACACCTGCCAGTTCTAGGTTACCATAGGATGAACCTTTGAAGGCTTTCTCCAGCACTTTAGGAGTCAAATGCAAGGCACACAGTATGAAAAATGTAAAATTGGTTTCAGAGTTGACCTGCCACCTCTCACACATTATCATTGGCCCATCACTAGAATACATGACATTATTGGCCAATAGGAAAGCAGAGTATTGAGCAAACTAGCAGCAGTACTGGTTCCACAATAGTTTTTAAAGGCATGATAGCCAGGAAGTTGCATAGTATTAAGGGTTGCCCTGTAAACTTCTATTAAAAAAAAAAAAAAATAAAATCAGCATAAGAGAAACCCTTGTTGGGCCAATGTGCAAAGTGCTCAGTTAGCTGGGGCCTCTGGTGCTTATAATGTATACAAGGAACAGACTGGACACCCAGATTATGGGCAAAATGATATAAAACTTCAAGTCTGGTCAAGTCTTGTTTGCCCCAAGAAGAAGTAATGTTTAAAATAGGATACCGCAAGTCTAAATTAAGGGTCAGGCCAATAGGTTGTATGCAAAGAGCCTCAAACAAAAGATTTTCTAACATGCTGGTTTACATTAATTCAATCAGCACAACAACACTTACACAGTCAAAGACAGAGAGGCAGAGTCATTCAGTGTTCCATAGAGTCTGACAGCAAAGGTGGGCTCTGCAGTTGATTCTTTGTTCTTGTAGTCAAATATGTGCATCTTCAGTTGGTAATGGTAAACTGCAAAAACAAAGATGAGATGTTAGATAAATTAGTCAAGATCATATTTTTGTAAATTAGGAGTCTGAGAAGATGGTTCTGTAAAGTAGAGGTCTAATAAAAGCTGCATTAGCAGTAGACAAGCCAAGGGCTGTTGTAGATTTTAAAAGATGACTGCAATGAATTGCCCAATTCCCAATCCATGTTTAATGTACAGCTTTAATTCTCCACCACAAGGTCCCAAACCATGTGCTTCCAGACCCCACTGTTTCTTGCATTCCTTTGGAAAGCCCCTTCAAATTTTTTCTGCCTTGGATTACAGCTACTTCCACTTCCCTTGGCAACACAAGCTCACCTTCATCCTTCAGCTATTATAAAGGGGTGGCTTAAGATGTCCATATGGTTTATGTTTCCCAACAGAAGGAAAGTGGAGGATGTCTGTTGATGTTGGGGGAGGTCAGATGTCAATAGATACAAGACTGCTCTTCCGGTTCCTCTGCCAATTCCAAACCCACAAAAGGCAACTCCATTTACTAAAAAAACAATGGTGTCCTTCCTAGACTTTACTACCCCAGTTTCAAAACTTTAACTAGCAATACATTGCATTAATCCATAGTCATGTCCTCCATATGGCCAACAAGTCTCGAGACTGGGTGCAGGGTGACCATTTTAGGCTGCTGGAGGAGATTCATTTAAAAAAAGGACATACCTTTGTAAGGCATCTGAGCTCTTGTTTTCAGGTACATTTTGCTGTTCCTCTTGCTGGTGGTCTTCTTAGCGTTGTAGCCAATAGCATTGCAGCGGTTCTTGCGGCAGCTCAGGCAGATTCCCTTCTTGAAGCGATTGGAGTCTGTACACTGGAAAGCAAAGCTCTCCTTGTCTTTATTGATGAGGGAATCCACAAACAGATGGACTGACCTCTCATGCTCACACTTCACTGCTTCACCAATACCTGGAGAAGACCAAAATACATATATAAAAAAAAAAAATTTCAACCCAAAGTCTATCAAAGCTCTGAATTTTCGTTGTTCTAATTTATGACAAGCTGATAAGAATTTGGCATGGAAATACCGATGTCATTGTATGGGTGCAGCTGAAAGCAGATCTCAGCCTCCTAAACAGCACCATGACATACTTAAACATGCTTGGGACAAACAGTTCTATGCTCAGACAAAAAAAAAAAAAAAAAAAAAGTTAGCCAAAAATGGCAGACTCAATGGACCACTAGGTCTTTTTTTTTGCGGTCATGTTTCTAGGACGTTCATTTAAAAAGTAGGAGTGAAGCTTCAGCAATGCTTAAGCCACTACCTCGAAACAAGCAGATTCAGATTTTTCTCATCTCCATAACTATTGTAGTCTTTTTGCCACTAGATATCCTCAGCCAACTGGACTGAATGACTACCAGCTTGGTATAATCCAGTTCCTCTGGCCCTAGGTGGTCATACACCAGCCACTGGATAGTGAAAGAGAAGCAGCACAGCGAGGAGTTTATATTTTCGTTACTCTGCTTTCTCCTGCCAATTAGCATACTCCTTGCAAGTACATGAATGGATTGACTTTTTGAGCTGCTTCTCCTACTCCGAGCTCTGCAAGATACAGATACGAAGTTAAAAACACGTACTAATACATCAGCAGTTCATATAGTGAACTCGGTGTAGAGTTATTCACCCTGAGGTCATCACAGAGGACAAGGGGGCACTCTTTACGTCTGGAGGAAAAAGAAATTGAATCTCCAAACATGGAAAGGTTTCTTCACAGTGAGAGCTGTGAAAATGTGGAATAGACTCCCTCAAGAGTTGGTTCTGGCCAGCTCAGTGGATTGCTGTAGGAAAGTCCTGGATTCTTTCTCAGATACACAGAATATAACATTTATAGGTAAAGTTGATCCAGGGAATATCCGATTGCCTCTTGGGGGATCAGGAAGGATTTTTTTCACTGCAGGAGCAAATTGGATCGTTTTTTTTTTTTTTTTTTTTTGCCTTCCTCTGGATCAACTGTGGGTGTAGGATAACTTTTTTTAATGGTTGAACTGGATGGACTTTTGTCCTTTTTCAGCCAGACTAACTATGTAACTATGTACTTGCATGCATTTAAAATTTAATGATGTATTAATACAGAACTCAATTCAGGAATCTGTTAATCATAAGTAATCAGCAGCTAACAAGTCTTAAACTTACTGCCATAAGCGATTGCCCCAATAACATCAGATAAGCCACAGCCTGGCTGATAGTCTCCACCATTGGGGTAGATATCAATATGGCCAATTGGCATCTGGATGCCAATGCTGACGCCCAATGCTTCTCTAGTATAGGTGTGAAGAACATCTACAAAATCTGCATCATCAGGAGAAAGACGTTTGTGGGCTTCAACACCTTCGAACATCGGGCCTGCTGGGTCCAAACCTAGAAAGAAAAAAAAAAACCCACAAACATTTAGTGATTAATTTGCCTTTTTATGTCAATGCTTCTACTATACAAGGTAAATAAACTAAAGCTGCCATTTATCTACATCCTCTGTATTTCCAGCTGTGTTCTAAGGAGTCACAACTGTATGCAACACTGAAGTTGCTTGGATCATGGTTAAGTAGGTCGGAAGGGACACCAAGCCTAGATGTTTGTCTGGAACTCCAAGCAATCAAGGTCATATTCCATGCTTCCAGCTAGACTTATCCTTGCCCACACTCACACCACACCCAAAAAAGCCTATGAAAAAAAGGTACCAGGGGCATCTCATGGGGCCCCCTACTGACCCTGGGCCCTCGGGCAGTGCCCGAATGGTTAGTCTACCCCTGTGTCCTAACCCTCTTGTATTGTAAGCCTACATGTTTGTCTCGAACTCCAAGCAATCAAGGTCATATTCCATGCTTCCAGCTAGACTTATCCTTGCTGACTCTTCAGTGGTGCAGATAAAAAAAAAAAAAAAAAAAAAAAAAAAAAGTATAAGCTTTGGATGACTAGCGGCCAAGTTGAATTACATCAATCAGCTGAGACAACCAGTCACAAAACACGCCGATAAAGAGTTGTCATTTGCACTACGGGAGGAATTCAAAGGGAGGACTTGTTGCAATTTCAAGAGTTCGCTCATCTGAAAACCTAAAGTCCAACTCCAGGAAACTTGAGAATTGCTTGTTTAGGTCTAGAGAAAAATAGATTTGCCAGATCCTCCGCTCTTCTGCATTGTTAGGCCAGTCCCTACAGCTTCTCCCCCCCCCCCCTCCCATGCACCTGTCATCTAAAGTCCTGATGTCATCAAGTTCAGTGCAAAGTCCATGGACTTGAGGATGCCAAGTGGCAGTCTCGTTGCTGGAGCATAAGGCAGCGATATCTGCTGGAGAGTGGAGGATCAGGTAGGTAAAAGTGCTTTTACTCTCCCCTGGACCTAAACAAACGGTCTCCCGGAGTTCCTACAGGTCTCCCGGAGTTCCTACAGGTCTCCCGGAGTTCTACAGGTCTCCCGGAGTTGGGCTTTAGGATCCTGCAGCTAGACAATAGGATTGTTATGCAAAAAAATGTTTTCCATTGTCTGACAACTAATACTATAATAGCAGAGCCTGAATATAATCTCATCAATATTTAGTTTCCCACAAGAGACTTCATTCTTCAGGAGTACAGGTAAATCTGTGTAAGGCGGCCAGTAAGCCTAACATTACAATAAGGATTAAGTGATAATATTCAGAAGGAAAACAAAAAAAACAAACAAAAACAAAAGAAAACAAACAAAAAAATATATAAAAATTGGCTCTGTTCCTGACAGTAGCATATTTTCTAAGCATTGTCAGCATTTGGCATGTAGGGTATTAAACACAAATCATCTTTTTTAAAAGTAACTTGTTAGTACAGACATAAAAGCTGACATTGGGGACTTATGTTTAAGGAATATGTAAACCCAACAGGTCTTCTTCCTGATATGTGCCTGCTGTACCATGTACTCGTATCAAAAAAGTATCCGGTTCTCTTTGTATTGCATCCTATGTGTGAAATCCCCAGTGTTCCTGCCAGTCCCTCTGCTTTCCTATTAAAAACTGACCACACTAGGTGTGAGAGCACAGTGTGGTCAGTTCCCTAGGTGTGTTGGGAACTCAGCTGCCTCTCCAATGATCAGACTTGTCCTGACCCCACCCCCCACAGCTATTCACTGGGAAGATCAGTGTGTTAAAGGTTCTCCTTCCCCAGCTCAATGCAACTGAGAACAGAGGGTATGTGATCACAGAAAAAAAAATGGATTTTTATACCAATACACAAATGTTTTAACTTTCATTTCTATTTTAAAAACTGTACGGGTTGTTTTACAAAGTCAGCGTTTAGTCCCCCCTCCCCCCAGGTCTCAAAATGCAGGAGTCAGTCTAATGCAGACACTCTGACAGGGACCTTGATGTTAAGGGGGCATTCTGACAGGGACCTTGATGTTAAGGGGGCATTCTGACAGGGACCTTGATGTTAAGGGGGCATTCTGACAGGGACCTTGATGTTAAGGGGGCATTCTGACAGGGACCTTAATGTTAAGGGGGCATTCTGACAGGACCTTAATGTAAGGGGGGACATCTGATGGGGACTCATGATGTTAAGGGGGACTCCTGATAAAGACATCGAATATAAGTGGGGGCACAGGTTTTCTTTTAATCATCCAATTCTAATCATAGCCCAATACATAATAGAGTTTCCCAGGTTGTGACACTGACAATGTTGACATTCTGCCCCCTGACTTTTTTTACTGCACCCCCAGATCACACAGGCTAGATCCGGATAGGATAGAGGCACCCGTATCATTATCTGAACCTAAATTTTAGGTCTGCTGGTCTAATAATACAAATATTACTGTCAGGACAGATATTATATGGTTTTTTTTTTAATACAAAAAAGTATTAAGAATCTTGACATAGATCATCACATACCTGTAATACGTCCAATTGTTCCATTCACGTAGTTACCAGAAAACCCAGCAACATGCGCCCCAAGACTGTACCCAATAAGATGGACATTTGGGAGGGACAAATTTGCTTTCTCCTGTTAAAATAGAGAGACCATTTAATACATAAACTTAAAATAAAGCCATATACAAAGATTTTGTCTTCTATTAACTACAATACAGAGAGTTTTGTGTCTACTGCATGATGTGTCTGAAAACCACTGAAGGGCCTTTTTTGAAAGCTCTGCAATGCATTCCTAACTAGGGGCGGACTGACAACTCATGGGGTCCCCGTGTAATAGGGGTTCATGGGGCCCATGTCCTCGCCCACACCCAAAAAAGCCTATGAAAAAAGGTACCAGGGGCATCTCATGGGGCCCTCTACTGACCCTGGGCCCTCGGGCAGTGCCCGAATGGTCAGTCTACCCGTTCCTAACCCTCTTGTATTGAACTGTATTGTCTCCCGTTATATTGTAAAGTGCTGAGCAAACTGTTGGCGTTATAAATCCTGAATAATAATAATTTCCAACACTCCTATTTAGTTACTGCTGCTTAAAGCGGGAAAATATTAGAACGTTAAAAATATACAGGAGCCTTGAGGGCATCAAGGAAATCTTTCCAAGGGACAAATGGAACCATCTGCATGAGGCAACTTCGTTGAACGGTGAGAGGAGCATGAGCGGAGTGACTCAATCTTTAAACCAAGTGCAGGATTTCCCGCCAACAAAACTGTCAAGAGGACAGACCAGGGACAAAGCAAGGGAAAGGGGGGACCTAGTCAACATTTTCTGAAGGACCATAAATTTCCCTTTTTGTCCTCTCCTGCAGCACTAGTTACAAGAAAAAAAAAAAAAAAATGAATGAAATGTTTTCTATGGATGCAGATATTTAAGAATAATCTTTTATACTCAAATGCAGGAAAGAAAAGCTGCAACTTTGAGCATAGAGATAAGCAAGAAGGAGGTCCGCAGTAACCATTAAAGTATCTCCAGGAAACCATTTTTGTTTGGGATTTGGATGAAATGGAAAATATTTGCAAGCTTTAATGCAGTCATCTCTCCACTGGAGAGATTCGCCACTTTTTCTTGACAGCAGTGGTTCAGAACAAGTAGAGTGACAGGAAATCCAAAATCTTTTGTGTTTTCGCCAAAACAAGGGGTAAGAGGAAATTTTGTTGGCACTTATTCCATGTACAACAGTCTAAGAAGGGGAACACCCTTCCCTGAGGGAGATTTCTTTCAATTTCCTGCTGCATCTCTGAGACATTAATTGAATGGAAATTTCCCCAATGGAACACAGATTGGATGTCCCATGATGAGACTTGGTTTCCCAGAGTTAAAGGGACTTCTGAACCAAAAGGAAAGTTACCTGTAACCAGTCCATAAGTCTGGCAGTCTCTCTTCCAACAAGCTTTGTGTTATTAACCGCATCGGGGTACAGCTGATGGGCAAGGAACATCCAGTCCACCACGATTATGTTGGAGTACGGCTCTCGCTCCTGGAGAGCTGAAACCAGCTTGTGCAACCAGTTCTCGAACAGCCCACTCATCTGAAGAGGAAAAAAACATGGCGATTCAGCGAAAGGCAGCGAGAGTCTCTACATCCTAAAGTAATGAACCGGAGGAGATTACGCACTATGCATATCAGTCAATTGTCTATAAAACTGACACAAAGGTTGGATAGTTGAGATTTGCTATGAGACGTGTCCACTAATAAATACACTTCATAAAACTTGTAAGGAATGATTTCCATTGCACATTAGAGCTGTGATATATCCTAAGTTGCTCTGTGAATATCATTGCATCCTTGTGATTGACCCAAACGTAAAAGTCTTCTCAAGTACAACTTGTGATAATAGACTTTCAGAGTCACCAAACCCTTTCCAATCAATTACTTTCTCCACATTCTCCAGCAGCTGAAAAAAAAAATCACAGTGTGGGAGAATCAAGCAATGCACAAGAGTACCCCAACGGGCCCAAAACATAGACAAACCCAAACAAGGGGGGGATATGCAAGGATATCCATGTAAACTTGTTTGGGTATATTGTTGACCTTACCCAATGATGAAACCTCTAATTGCTGCCTATGTGAAGGTCTAAACCATCCTCTAAACCAGGATTCCATGGAATCCTAGGGGTTCCTCCAGAGGTTGCTAGGGTACCTTAAGCAATGTGCAGTTCCCTTCCTTTATACAAGTAAGCACTAACACCAAGAATCTTTTGCACTACTGTATAAAAGGAGCATTCTTCCCCACTGGCCACCAATTGTAGGGAGCCATTCTTCCCCACTGGCCACCAATTGTAGGGAGCCATTCTTCCCCACTGGCCACCAATTGTAGGGAGCCATTCTTCCCCACTGGCCACCAATTGTAGGGAGCCATTCTTCCCCACTGGCCACCAATTGTAGGGAGCCATTCTTCCCCACTGGCCACCAATTGTAGGGAGCCATTCTTCCCACTGGCCACCAATTGTAGGGAGCCATTCTTCCCCACTGGCCACCAATTGTAGGGAGCCATTCTTCCCACTGGCCACCAATGTAAGGAGCCATTCTTCCCACTGACCACCAATGTAGGGAGCCATTCTTCCCACTGACCACCAATGTAGGGAGCCATTCTTCCCACTGACCACCAATGTAAGGAGCTATTCTTCCCACTGGCCACCTATGTAAGTAAGCATTCTTTCCACTGACTACCAAGATAATGTATTGGGAGCTGCAGATATAGTACTTACTGGAAGGGGTACCCTGAGACCTGAAAAGTTACTACAAGGGTTTCTCCATGTTAAACAGATTGAGAAAGGCTGGTCTAAACATTCACCATTGATAGAAGACTGTGATTGGACACAAGTTCATAAAGTACCACTCAATCATCTTTGATTCTTACTGCATTCATTTGCAGGGTCTGGAACCTCATGGATCATAAAGAACGACATGGTACCAATGTTGGCTGGGGGGAGGGGGGGGGGGGGGGGTGGCAGCCAATAGATGTTTCCATCTTGTGTAATCTTAGATTTGCCAACACATACTTAGCACTGCATAGGTGTTGGTCAATCTAATAGAGAATGGACAATGAGATGGTAAAAATGGTAAAAGAAAAATGCTTTTGGTGTATAATAGCGAGTAGCACTCAAACTGTTCAAAGAAAGTCGGTACTCACAGTCCACCCATGGATGACAATGAAGGTTTTGGCAGAGGTGTTGTAATTGCAGTTCTGCAGGCACTCATCATGCCCTGGATCCAGGTAGCAGCCTTCGTCAGGACTGACAGAGAAGTGGGCATTAAACTGGATATGAGGTTTCTTGGCAGTCAAATTCTCATCAGCCTCCTTCAGCAAGTTGGCAATTGTGTCATCTACAAGCAGCAAATGAAGAAACGACAGTTATTATACAGGATTTATAAAGTGCCAACAGTTTGCTCAGCACTTTACAACAACGAGGGAGATGGTACCGTTACAAAACAATAGGAATAGTCAGGCCCAGTGCCAGGACAAGGTCATCTAGCACCAGGGCAAAGATGCTAAAGTGCACCCCCCTTCCTCGTTCAGCATGTGCAAGCTTGGGGGATCCTATGCCTTTTTTTTTTTATGGTTGAACTGGATGGACTTTTGTTTTTTTATCAGCCAGACTAACTATGTAACTACATCCAGCAGTCACACCTGTCAAAATCACTACTCCTGTCAGCCTTTTAACTGTAGAAAGACACCCCCATCCCTACAATAAGCCTTTGTGCCCAGGGCAGCTGCCCTCCCACTCACCCCTTGTCCCAGCCTGTCTCGTGAGATTTCACTCTAAAAAAAGGAGGGGAAACTGATGCAGACATAAAACTTTATCACCTTTTTGGCATACTTTATGAAAACTAAAAAAAAACGGCTCATGTGAGGAGTTAAAATATTTTTTGAAACTTCCAATGTAGCTTAATAATAATAATGGATATTTTAAAAAAATTATATATTTTTTTTATCTAATATCTAATATATATATATATATATATATATATATATATATATATATATATATAATTTTGCAAAGCTTAAAATTAAAAAAAAAGGTCTTCAGACACTTTTCCAAGTATCTGGTCAAAAAAGAAACATTCCAGTTTTGCTTGCTGCATGACATCTGTCTTGTGGCTCTGATAACATACTACTCAAACATGGAACACGACAACTGGCAAGGCTGATACATTTTGGGAATAACAGATCTGTCGAGAGCCTGCATGGTCCTTTGGGTAGCAAGCAATTGTTTTCTGCTTCAGGGCAACCATGACAAAAAAAAAAAAAAAAAACCCACACAATAAAGTCAGCCTACACTGCTCTCCCAAGGTGGCATACATTTTTTTTTGGTGATAGCGTAACTGCAAAATTAAACTATGCAACTATACAGATGAACCCAGAACTAGAACATTTGCAGCAAATAGAACAAGAATTTAATACTGATTATAGTCCCCTAATCATCTAAAAGCTACCACACTGCCCTCTACGGGCCAATACAGGTACTACAACACGTGCCAAGTATCTTTGAAGCATCATTTGAAGTCCAAGGAAAATGCAAAGTTGCAGCATGCTCCTGACACACCCGCATGATCAACTTCACTGCAGGCGGAAACAAAAGAACCAGTTATTACTAAAAGCAAACCCATAAAAGCCCCCATGGCGTATCTGCTCTCAAAACAATTCAGCTTGATGAAACTAGTTATTAAATCACTATTGAAACAAAGACATAATTGTAGTGCTTGCATTGGAAGCAAGTCTCTGAAAAGTCAATGAAAACGATTTCACACAGCGTGCTCGAGGAGGACATGGAAGGTAAAGGTGTGAATATAGGTAAAGCGTGTGAATATATGTGGAAGGTAAAGCGTGTGTGTGAATATAAAGCGTGTGGATATATATGTGGAAGGTAAAGCGTGTGTGTGGAAGGTAAAGCGTGTGATGTGTGGAAGGTAAAGCGTGTGTGGAATGTGTGAATATATGTGGAAGGTAAAGCGTGTGAATATATGTGGAAGGTAAAGCGTGTGGAATATATGTGTAAAGCGTGAATATATGTGAATGTGAATGTGTGTGGAAGGTAAAGCGTGTGTAAAGCGTGTGAAAAGGTAATGTGTGGTGGAAGGTAAAGCGTGTGAATATATGTGGAAGGTAAAGCGTGTGAATATATGTGGAAGGTAAAGCGTGTGATGTGGTTAAAGCGTGTGAATATATGTGGAAAGGTAAAGCGTGTGAATATATGTGGAAGGTGTGTGTGTGTACATTTGTGACATACATAAAAAAAAAAAGAAAGAAAAGTTTTTTATATAAACAGTGTGACTTCAAGTGCAATAAAGAGATGCCAGTAATTTCATGCATGCAGCCCACTAGGACATGTCTCAAACAATGGGGGGGGGGGGGGGGGTGCAAGATTACGAAGCAACACGGAGTTCTTTGAGACATCTGAGCCACTGGCAGAATACGCCGGGAATAGAGCTCGCAATGTGTTCGGTTTGGGTAGAGTAGCGTTTTGAATAATGAGACATCTGCCTGAAAAGCTGCAACAATGGAACGACTGCGCCTAATCTGTTCTGGCTGCACCTGTAACAAAATGGCTTCAATGAATATACACTGATATTTAAATGATGGGGGGGGGGGGGGGGGGGGGGGGTAGAGGAATTAGAGGTTTAAAAACTGGAGACTAAGAGACTAGCTTGGTTAAATGTAGGTTTGACTCAAATATATATACACACACACACACACATATACACATACACACGTACACCTAATAAATATATATGTTATGAATAATAATAAATGCTAATAATTATAGATTTAAAAAATAAAAAAAATAACAAAAATTATATATATATTTTTATTATTATTAGAATTTATTATTGTTCATAATATATATTTTATTAAAAAAAATTAAACAAAAAAATGAGATGTTGATTTAAAAAAAAAAAAAAAAATTAAAATATAAAATTATTATTGTTAATAAAATGTTTTTTTAATTATTAGAATTTATCATTCATAAATAAAAAAGATATTAAAAAATATACATTAATAAAAAAAAATTTTAATTATAATTTATTATTCATAATATATGAATAATAATTTATAATTCTTAGAAAAAAAAAATGATATATATATATATATATATATATATATATATTACACACACACATACATACATACACACAAATTTAGCCAACATTTAATTACCAAACAGATCACAAATAGCCAGCCTATGGCTAACATAAATAACTAAGATCAGCACCAAGACAGAGGTGTACATTATACACAGGTAGGCAGGTTATTCATGGTACCTCCAGAATTTAATGAGTTACTACACAAAAAAAAAAAAAAAAAGAGACTATAAATATATACAAAAGGTTCAGCAGAGCTCGCAAACAACTATATGAAGAGATATGTTCACATTTATGGCACCTCCAGCAGGGCAGCTCCATGAACTTTACTTATAGGCAGCAGGCAGCCCAGGGACAAGGTCCAGAGACATAAATATATACACTGTATACACAAAGCATTCAGCAACGTAAGAATCCACTAGCAGAGGGCAGATGCATGTTATGTATTTATTATGGTCCTCCAGACGCCACAGCGTAGCTCAGCCCAGACATGGAGCCTTTCTATGGGGCTGCAAGCAACTCAGGGGAAGTGAAGAACGAGGGAAAAAAAAAAAAAAAAAACAAAACCATATTTTATTATTATTAATAATAATAATAATAATAATAAATATTTTTTTTTTAATTATATACAAGTTCAACAAAGCAAGCAATGAACTAGAATAGGAAAGTATGTACATATATAAATAAAAAATGATTTATGGCACCTGCAGAGGCCGTGGCGTAGCTGAAGTCAGGCAATAATCTGCTCAGAGCTCCTATCCAATCCATAGAAGGAATTCATAGTAACAATCAGACAGATGTATTGCTCTTCTATATGTATTGATTATGGCGCCTACAGAAGCAGAGTCTTCCCCCCTCCAGAAGCAGAGTCTTCCCCCCTCCATCCCCCCCAGCAGCAGAGTCTTCCCCCCTCCATCCCCCCCAGCAGCAGAGTCTTCCCCCCTCCAGCCCCCCCAGCAGCAGAGTCTTCCCCCCTCCAGCAGAGTCTTCCCCCAGCAGCAGAGTCTCCCTCCTCCTCCTGCAGGACTCCCCGGCACTCACCTTCCAGCAGTCCTTCTTCTGCCAGCAGCGCAGCGTGTGTAGACAGTGCAGTCAGCACCAGGCACAGAACCCCGATCCGCATCCTCCTGTCCGGCTCCATACACTCCATACACACACACAGTCCGGAGATGGCTGGACGATGTATCCGGGTTCCTGGGAAGGACGACCGGCGGCTGTTCGCCTTTCAGTGGGTTGCGGAGAAGAAGCGGCGCGGGGTAATACTCCGGCTCGGGTCACATGACCATCGGCAGATCAGCCTTCCCAATTCTCGTCGCTGATTGGTCACGCCTCTCACACGCCCAAACGACGTGATTGGAGAATTCCGAGAACAATGCTGCCGGGGAGTCCACAGACGGCGAGTCCAGCGCGAGGGCATACACCGTGCAATTAGATTGTATAGTTTTCCCAGGGGCGGACTGACAACTCATGGGGCCCCCGGGCAATAGGGGATCATGGGGCCCCCTACTGACCCCGGGCCCTCGGGCAGTGCCCGAGTTTCCAAATGGTCAGTCCGCCCGAGTCTCCCCTATGGTGGACATACACCGTGTAATCTGATTGTACAATCTCCCCCGTGGTGGCCATACAATCTGACTGGACTATCTCCCCTATGGTGGCCATACAATCTGATTGTACAATCTCCCCTATGGTGGCCATACAATCTGACTGGACTATCTCCCCTATGGTGGCCATACAATCTGACTGACTATCTCCCCTATGGTGGCCATACAATCTGATTGTACAATCTCCCCTATGGTGGCCATCCCCTACCATACAATCTGATTGTACAATCTCCCCTATGGTGGCCATACAATCTGATTGTACAATCTCCCCTATGGTGGCCATACAATATCAATCTCCCCTATGGTGGCCATACAATCTGATTGTACAATCTCCCCTATGGTGGCCATACAATCTGACTCCCCTATGGTGGATACAATCTGATGGACTCCCCCTATGGTGGCCATACAATCTGATTGTACAATCTCCCCTATGGTGGCCATACACTGTACAATCACCCAACAAGCAGCTTCCATTCGTAAAATCAACCAGATCAAAGCCACTGAATCCCAACACTGATTGTAGATCCAGGGGCCACCATACATGTTACAATCTTGCCGTACAATCAACTCTTGGTTTACCAAAACTATGTTTATTGCA